GTGTGTGTGTGTGTATGCATATAATTTTTGGTTATTAATTGATTAAATTTTTTTTATTAAAAAAATAAAGTACCTTCCGTTGAAGAAATAGTTGAAGGTATAGAAAGTAAATTTACAAAAAGATTCATAGATCCAAATCAAGTTGGAGGTACAGTTGGAGATACAGTTGAAAATGGTGTTGATAAAGCAAAAGAGTTTGGTTCAAATGCAGGAGATACAGTATCAAATACAGCAGGAGATGTCATTAACAAAATAAATGAACTATCACCAACAATGCTGGATAGTATAAAAAATTTTAAACCACAAGTGTCAACTGTAAACCTTCTTGGAATTTTCTCCATTCCATATTTAATAGCATTCTTAATCAATATAATCATGTTTCCCTTATTATATTTTAATTTCAATATATTAGTCATAGCATTATTGTTCCTTTCTACATTCTTTGTTGCACTTTCTTTAACCTTTGATATGTTATTATTTGTGTGGGTGTTCAAAGCCGTTGCATTAATACCTGGTCTTGGTCAACAAAAAACTGGATCTGGAATTCATTTAGCTGCTTGGAGCTTAATTTTTTTAACAGTAGCTACAATATTGATGATGATTGGTGTGTGTAACAAAATGTGTATTAGTGGCATTGTCAAAAAACTTAGGAGAAACAAATTATCACCAAGTGATGAAAAAAATCAAACATTAACTAGTGAAGTATAAATTATCGGCTGTGGGGATATATATTTATTTATATATAACTAGAGGGAAATCGTATTAATATTAATGTAAATTAAAAAAATCCAAAAAAATTATTTGATAATAGATGAATTAATTAATTAATGTATCATTAATAATTAAAAATTAGATTCTGGTAATAAAGAAATCACATATGTTCAAGGAATGAATGTATTAGCAGCACCTTTCTTATTTGTGATGCCAGAATTAGATGCATTTTATTCATTTTCAGCGTTTATTCAACATTTTTGTCCATTATATGTCACACCTAATTTAGAAGGTGTTCATTCTGGATTAAAGGTAAATAAATAAATTGTCATACATAATAAATGTATAAAATATATATCTACATACATTATATTGATTTAAAATTGATATTGATTTAGTTGTTGGATAAATGCCTAGAAATTATTGATTCAAATTTATTCATTTATTTAAAATCGAAAAATCTTACGGCTGAAATTTATGCATTTCCATGTAAGCACATATTTGGAAATAATTAATAGATTTATAATTATTATAATATTTATTTATTTTAATTTTTTATTTATTAGCTGTTCTTACGTTCTGTGCATGTACACCACCACTTGATCAAGTATTGAAACTTTGGGATTTTTTATTTGCTTATGGGGTACACTTGAATATTTTATGTGTTATTATTATTTGACCAAGTTGGTGAATATCGATAAAAATTTAAAGGTTTTAATGACGATGCAGGTGATGCAGATGATGCAGATGATGCAGATGATGACGATGACACAAATGATGCAGACGCAGATTCTATAAATGCATTGCGATTATTGTTACTTTTTGGTGGATAATTAATGCTAATATTATTTGTTGTAGCTGAATATTTTATGATATTATTATTGCTAATACTATTTTTACTACTACTACTATTATTATTATTATTAGATTTTTCCCGATAAGAGTTTTCTTTAGAAGAAAAAGATTTGTTGTTTTCGTAAGGAAAAGTTGAAGTGTAAAGTTTTGGTGATAAAAGCAAAATAGAAGTCATTATTACAAATATTGTTTTTTTATTAAAAGATTGAAAAAAATTATTTAGAAAATTTTTAAAGAATGAATTCATAAATAATATAAATAATAAATTATTTGATTATTTATATATTTTCGTAAAAAACATTGTACGCGCGTTTCTATTTATATAGGGAGATAAGATAACTGATAATATAAAAACTCTTGTTTAAACTTCTTTTTTTTTGCTTTCTAAATATTAGATTGAATTTGGGTTTTGATAAAATAAACAATAAATAAATAAATCATAAGGCAAAATATTAAAATTAATTTTTTTCCTTTATTAATCCATTGTTTATTTATTTAACTATTTATCGAGACACAAGTTATTTATTAAATGTTTATATTTTTTTGAGTTGAATTGATCATAAGACGTTAACGATTGTACGTACGTGTAACAATTTTCTTTAAAACTTTTCATTGTTGTTCCTTCCTTTTTTTCCATTTTAATACTTGGTCCACGACCACATTTTACATCAGCTTATCTTCTATGAGCGAGGATCGTTAATCCGGTGAAACATTGGATATGTGTACGACAGCTTTATAAAAAACGCGCGTTCTTTGATTATTTTATTATCAAAAAATGGATTTTTGAAAAGAAAAGGTTTCGAGTTATACATAACCGAGAGGCGTTATTAATACATCAATCATATACATAACCTAGATGGAATTAAAGCAATTGGAACAGGTAGTAGCAATAGTAACGGAAGTTTCTTTGGGAACAATTCTTACTAAAAAAATTCATTACAACGTATAGTAATGTCTTTTAAAACTGGCAACTGAAACTTATGCTCAGATCTGTTTGAAACAAATAAAAAAGTGACTGGAAGGATCAAGAATTTTAAAATAAGAATAATGAAGATTTTTTCCTCGATACTCCTCACGCATTGAATTTTGATTATCATAGAGATTCAAATAGTCAGCAAAAAGAAAATGAAAAATTACTGATGATGTGATTCAATAAAGATTTATTAGAAAAGAATCCAATGACTTGACATTTTAAAAATTTTCCGGTGTGAATTATTCTGAAAGGAAAATTTGGTCAATCAATTGAGATATATAAAAGATAATCATATTACTGTTATATTCTTATATCCTTGATAAAGAATTCTTTATTAAAAAATTAAAATAATAAAATAAAAAGTGTTCTATCAAATATATGTAAAAATATATACTGTATATTGTTTTTAAATACTTTTAATTAATAGTAAAGTATTTCTAATAATAAATAATAAAATTAACAATGAATTAAAGATTCAAAAGTTTTGATTTAAATAAAATTTTATTATTAAAATGGTAATAACTGTAGTTAATAATAATAGATATTATTAGTTAAATAATTAAATATATTTTTTATTAATATTACACAATAACTGATAATTAATTAATAATTTTTCTTAATTTTTATAAATCTAATTTATATTTTTTCATGTTTTTTCTATTTATATTTCCAATTTTGAATCTTCTACACTATCATTAAAAGTTTTAAACTTTTCGTTTCAAATTAGTACTTAACCATTCCAATCCTTCATAAAGACCATCGCCACTTGTAGCACATGTAGCTTGGATATACCAATGACGTTGTCGAAGAGAATGGAGTCCAAGTTTATCAGTAATTTCTGCCGCATTCATTGCATTAGGTAAATCTTGTTTATTGGCAAATACCAACAAAAGTGCATCTCTAAGTTCATCTTCATTAAGCATACGTTGAAGTTCTTCTCTTGCCTCTGAAATACGTTCTCGATCATTTGAGTCAACTACAAATATAATACCTTGTGTATTTTGGAAATCTGTAATAATGATTGATGATGGGCGAGTCAGTGATTAATAGATATATGAATGGATGTGCATGGTCAAGATGCTTTTGTGGTAAAGATATTATATTATGCTATATAAATGTATATATATATATATATATATGATATATATATACTAAATATACACCATATAAAAAATATTAAAAACAGCTTACAATGACGCCAAAGTGGCCGTATTTTATCTTGACCTCCAACATCCCAAACAGTAAAAGAAATATTTTTATATTCTACTGTCTCAACATTGAAACCTTTAGAAAATAAATAGAAAATTTGAATTCATTATTATTAATTTATTAATTATTATAATAATTATTATTAATTGATTGAGTGTATATATGGCTTACCAATAGTAGGAATGGTGGTAACAATTTCACCTAACTTGAGTTTATACAAAATGGTGGTTTTACCAGCAGCATCCAAACCCACCATCAAAATGCGCATCTCTTTCTTACCGAAGAGACCTTGAAGAAGTTTTGAAATTGATAAACCCATTTTGTTTTATATTTTAAATTTATCTATATTAATTTGTCTATCTATAAAATTATGAATTACTCTATTGATTTAAAGAATTATTAAAAAAAAGAGATGGGTTAATGGGAGAGATGTTATAAATAATAAAAAATTTTTTTAATTGTTTAATGTAAATAAATATGTATATTGTCATTGGTAAAAGAGGTCAATATTATCATCAAAGTACATTGTGTAACTGAAAGTTTATGTTCGATTAACTTGTGGAACAGGTTTAATGTATAACATATATATATACGCTCAAAAACCACAGTTAACACCAAATTTAAAACAGAGAATCATCTTCTTAATCGACATATAATAACAAATTGTCGAATCAATAAATTATTTAATAATATATTAATATCATTTTTAAATTGAAAGTGAATAATTCTGAATGCATTTAACATAGTAATAATAATTACACTCTTATTATTCACTAATGCAGTTCCTACTCGCTTAATAATTTAATGATAATATTAATGACATTTAAAATTGGAATTGTTATTTATTATTTTACGTCAACTAGAATCTCAATTCTTACAAAGTCAAAAGGTTTCTAGTCTAGCCTTTAACAATGACTTTGTAGAGCACACTTTAACGCATTGTTTTTTGGCTTATTCTCTCTACTAGTCTTGAGATGAAAGAAATACTTTCAACCTTTCGTAGAGCAACCAAAATTTAAGTTAGAACCTTGCTTTAATGGTCGTTTGAAGTTCTGGTTTGCTTTATATTTTTTGTGATAAATTTTACAATTTGGTGATCGACATCAAACCTTTATTATTATCCCTTTTTCGAAAAATTTGGGGAGGTTATATAGTCCAAATTTGGAAATCGAATCTAGAAAAATTGGAACTCCTTTGTCGATCAATTCATATGTGTGGCGAACGAGTTAACG